GGGAGGGGAGAGAGGGGAGGGGGAAGGGGAGGGGAGGGGAGAGGGAGGGGGAGGGGAGAGGGAGGGGAGAGGGAGAGGGAGAGGGAGAGGGAGAGGGAGAGGGAGAGGGAGAGGGAGAGGGAGAGGGAGAGGGAGACAGAGAGACAGAGAGACAGAGATGCAGAGAGATGAGAGAGAGATGATGGGGGAGGGTTCTGATTTTCCTTTAAAAGGCAAAAAAGAAATATCCAAAGAAAATAGTGACATGTTAGAAGCCTCAAAATACCAATGTCCAATAAAGTTCTCTGTAGGTTTTTCAACCCAAATCTCCCCTCCCACCATCTCTACATCTAAAATTATTCTCTGAGTTTTGGTTAATACAGTCATACAGTCTAAGCATGAGTCAAACTAGGAAATATGGTGCTGGGGGCCTCCCTCTCCTGGCTCTTCTGACTCTTCAGGGGTTAAGCCCCACAGCCCAGGTATCACCAGGTCTTCTGGCCTAGATGGTGGGTGGTGACTTTTCCACAGGCCACTGTTACTCTTTGTCTAGGCTTTGACGCCCCCATCGGCATGGTTACTCTGCCTGTCTGTTTCTATCTGACTAGTCTCTTTGAAGAGAAAGCCAGAAGCAAAAACAGAAAATCAAGAGTTTCCTCTTGGCTCCAAGTTCTCAAAATACCTTCTCCTCAAAACAATAGGCCTGTGAACTTTGTTCCTCTGGCTGCAACTCAAGTTTTAGAAAACTTGAGCATGCCGTGTGCATGTTCAGAGATGTCACACTGAACCCTATTAATATGTGCTATTACTACCTGCTAACAAAATGCTACACACATGATTGTTAGTTCACTATGGGCTGTAGTCTTTTATTTTACTTTATTATTTTTTTTTACTTATTCACTTTACGTGCTGCTTACTGTCCCCACCCCGTCACTCTCTCCCACAGTCCTTCCCCCGTCTCCCCCTCCTCTTCTCCTCTGAGTGGGTGGACACCCCCACCCCAGGTATCCTCCCACCCTGTGCTTCAAGGCTCTATGAGGCTAGGTGCTTCCTCTCCCACTGAGACCAGACAAGCCAATGGGCTTCAGTCCTTATAGAATATTCTAGAGTCTCTGAAGCAACAGTTATATGTTCACACTTTCCATCTCTAGGATAGACCTTTTTTGAGTAACTATTACAAATATTGTTGAAGGGAAATGTTCTACACTAGATATGGGGGCACACAGCTGTAATCTGAGCACTGAAGAAGCTGAGACATGCAGGTTTGTGGGGAGTTCAGGGCCAGCCTGGGCTACAGAGTGAGACTCTGTCTCAAAAATAAACAAACAAAAACAAACAAATAAAGCAAGGAAGGGCGAGGAGAACAAGAGGAAACAAAGGACTGTGTTTTCTCTAATTTTTTATCTTTAGTTTGAAGGGCTGTGGTAGACTAACCTAACAAGATGTCCTTAGATGTACCCCTCTGAATTGAGGTCACCTAAGGTCATGTGAGACAAAGATAACAGGGAACCAGAGAGAATTTGTGATGGATGCTGAGGCCTACTCATGGTAACAATGGCAACAGCTTTTCTGAAGAGCTCCAGGTCCCAAATCTGTGTTCTCAGAATGGCTGCATGCGGGGGTGTGAAGAACATCGCCGAACCATCCCAGGCTCCTCAGGGCCATATCCGTTTTCTAAGACTCCAAATGCAACAGGCACATCCAGGTGTGAAAGATATCAAGGGGTTCTCTGCATCAGATTTAAATTCTTTCAAAATAGAAAAGCTGAGGCTGAAAAGGAGCAGAAGCTCCTGTGGTCTCTGTGGCATGTGCCACACGCTAGGTAGGGCTAGGCTGGGTGGGTTTAGTCTCCAGCAAAAAGGCTGGAGCGCTCCCAACTGTTCTAGTTACTCAAGAAGAAAGAAGATTCTTCTGTTCTGACCAAGAAGAATCCCTGGTCTGGAAAAGGCTGTCCTTGAAACATGCTTTGCACGCCTATTCCTATGTAGCTGATGGACCATGCTTTGCATGCCTGTTCCTATGTAGCTGATGGACCATCCTTTGCATGCCTGTTCCTGTGTAGCTGATGGCGTGGGCATGACAATTGTCAATTTTTATTATTCTAAGCATTTTACGTTTTCATGCATTTTTCTCATTAACTCAAATGAGGCAGATAACTACTATTTTCATCATTTTTTAGAGAAGGAAATGAAGGCACAGAAAGGTTAAGGAGTTTACCTAGGATCACACAGGCAGGAAGTGATAGAGCCAAAGCTTCAGAATACATAATGAGGAGACTCAAAGATGGCCATCTATGACCCTACCTAGTTCCTGATAGTCACAGTGTTCAAGTCATCCTTCCCTTTAACTTTCTCCCAACCTGTGAAATAAGACAGACATGATAGGGCACAACACACGTGTTTAGGGTGCATATAATTATGAGTTGCACCTTACTAGATAACTCTATTCCCTCCACAGATGATACCCTGGCAAAGCAAGATACCATGTTGAAGAGGCCCACGGGGAAGAACTGGAAGATACCTCAAGATACCATGTTGAAGAGGCCCACGGGGAAGAACTGGAAAATACCTCAAGATACCATGTTGAAGAGGCCCACAGAGGAAGAACTGGAAGATACCTCCAGCTAATCATCCAGCAAAGAGCTGAGGGCCCCAGTCTAACAGCTCTCTAGAACTGATTGCTACCAATAATCTCGAGAGTTTAGAGATGGACACTTTCCTAGAGTCAGCTTTACCTGGGCCAGCAACTTGATCATAGCCTGGGGTAAGACTCCTAACTGAGGATCCCCAGTCTAGACAGGGTACAAAATGGCCTTTATGTCCCTGTTTGTCCATGGTTATTCCTGTTTTCCCTTCAGTCCTTCCCCTTCCTTCTGGCTACTTTGTCACTCTCTCTTGCAGCATGAAGGATGATGTGCTGGCCTGCTTTCTCCCTTCATTAAAATACAGACCCATGGGGCAAGCACTCTTCATTTCAGTCTCTGTTCTATCTAGGAAAAGAGAAAGAATAAAGAGAAAAAATTAGAAAAAATTAAATAATAATAATAATAAAAGAGTGTATGTAACACTGCATGTCTCCCAGCTTTAGTAAAAAGCCACCAAAACAGGTCTGTAATGTGTGACCCTTTGCAGAAGTGTGCACTCCCCTCCCCTTGTGTGCTTCTGCACTAATCAAACTTCCTTCCCCATTTTGTCTCCTCCCTGAATTCTTTCTTCAGTAGAGACAGTGCCATACCTGAAGTTAAGATACTGGAAAACACTGGTATCTTAAACACTGACCAAAACCAACCTGGGACGGAAAGGGTTTGTTTGGTTTACAAGTCTCAACCACTGTTGATCATTAAGAAAGGTCAGGGCAAGAAATCAAGCAGGAGCAGAGGCAGGACCCACAGGGGAATGCTGTTGATGGGCTCCTGTTCAGCTACCTTTTTTTACACCCTTCAGGATCATGTGCCCAGGCTCAGCACCACCCACTGTGGCTGGGTCCTCCCGCATCAACCAACCATCAAGAAACCCACAGAAATATATCTGTCAGCCAATCTGATGGAGGCATTGCCTCAATTCTCAGTTAAGTTTCCTCCTCTCAAGTGACTCTAGCTTGTGTCAAGTTGATGAAACCTTCCAACACACACACACAAACATGCATGTTACAAAAGATGGAAAAGAAAATACTTTAATATTCTGAAGGTAGAAAGCAACAATGGCAGACTTGGTAATATTGACTCAAAACCCACAGCTGTCACCTTAGAGGGAATAAGAGAGTTTATTCTGGAGTCATTTTTGAGTGACCATGGCCCAGATTCACATTACCCCAAATTTCATGTTTCATTCCAATGTGGAAGCAGTTGCATGGAGTTTTCTAGAATACAAAACAAAGTCATAAATCAAGGCTAGTTTAAAATACACTGGTGGAGGCAGTCACATTGGGGACATGTTTCTGTAGGTCATCAGATGCTGCATAAGTTAATAGACTCCAAGATCAATTAGCCACTGGATGTTAGCTCCAGCTCAGAGCTGAGCAAGGAATGGCTATTGGGAGACAGTTGCCTAAAACCAGCCGAAAGTGGGTTAGCCTTTGGACCTGTACCGTTC